ACCTTAGCCAGGAGGTCGTCAACCATAGTAGACTACTGGTGAACGACGGTGCTAGCATCTTGGACATGATCAATGAGAGTCGTCACATAGTGGTGATGCTACAAATAAAAAATGAACAAGTTAGCAAAGTGAAGCCGAAGGAGCTGGTAGCAGTCTAACTTACCACAATCTCATTTCGATAGCAAGTGTCAATTAGGAGCTCTAAGGGGGAGCAATAGAGCTGCTTCACCATCCCCAAGCATAGGGATCCATGACAGTACCATTCTGTAGTCGAGCCTTCACCCCACACCTTTTACATCTCCCTCAGACCTTCCCATCAAGGCTATAACGATGTCTTCGAGGTTGGGTCCGACAAGTCGATAATCTACAAGGCTGTGAAGGGCAAGAGTTTCCTCTTGCACAGGTTCAACATTGACCATAACCTTCTCTCCTTTTTTCTGAAGCCCGACTTGGAACTTCCACCTCCTAGAGGCACTAGCATTATAGTCGGGGGAGGCTCCATTTCCTGAGCCGACTCTTCGGGCATGTCGTCCTTTTGAGGGCATGGGGTCTTCTTCGTTATAACCTTATGTTTCTTTTTTAGTCAGTTGCTATTGTTATGATGGCCAGACCAAGGCGGATCTAATGCCTCTACCAACGGCTCGCAAGCAGTTGTCAAGACCGAATGGGGCTCCGCCACACCCGATGAAGAGCCAAGCTCTTTCTTTTTCAAGGTGTGTAGATTTATGCTTGTAAAGAATCCAAATCACAAAATTGAATATTAAAAAGAAAAGTCAAGTCAAGCGAGGGAAAGTTCAGGTCGTACCCCAAGGAGTTGAGCTGAGACTCATATCGATCAGTCATTCCTCATCTATCTTTCGAACTAAATCGGAGGAAAAAAATATGTCCCTCAGTCGAAGCATTTGATCTGCCTCCTTATCCAACAAGAAGGGAGGGATATTATCAATGCAACATGTTAACTAAGTGAGGTTGAACCCCTAGTCTTTGACTTGAACTCATAAGAAAAAAACACTCCTTCCGGCCCTTGTTGTTGGAAGGGGCATCCCTGACCTTGAAGTCCTCCCGATCGGATAAATAGTAGCTATTTCTCCCCTTGCACAACCGAAAATAAGCGACAAAAAGGGTTCGGGTCAAAATAATGTCAGCACATTGGTATTCCCCGATGAATACTATCAAATGACATCACGAGTTGGGCGCAATTTGGGAAGATGACACCCTGGGATAGGATCAAAAGTGTGTTGACCGGGTTAGGGAACTTGTAGGTCAAATTCGGTTGAGATAAAATATCTAGTTCGTAGGTGATCCAAGAGAGGTGTGCTCACCACCGAATCACAATCATGAGAACTCTTGGACTCCAACCCTCAAAGAACCCTCGATTCACAAGAGAGGCCCCTTTCAATGAAGAGGACCCGACCTTCTCCACCCTCAAACAATCCAAAGATAAAGCATAAACCTCAACTAACTAATATATAGAGGATCGGGAAGAACTTGTAAGAGAGATGAGAGACATCTCGACCTGAGATAGAAGAGCAGAACTTATGTCGAGATGAAGGACTCAAAGGTCAGCCTACCTTATCGGGAACCGGAGCGACAAGAGAGACGCTCCTAAGGAGACCCTTGGGGTGAGGCTGAGAACTCTTGAGGCTCTAAAGACTCTGGACACTAAAGGCTTAGATGGAGGAATGAATCACATCCTACGAGGGGAGGGGATTTATGAGGAGATCGAACTCTGTCCTCCTGTGATAAGACAAGTGTCCTTTTGGGGGCAAATCTCAAGAGGCTTGTCGCGATAGGAAGGTCCGAGACTTGCCACGATGAAGAGAGGACTTGAAAGCTGTCATGATGGAGCAAGAACTCGAAGCCCGCCATCGCAGGGAGATCCAAAATCTGCTATGACAAAGAGAGGACTTGAAACTCACCACGGTGAAGAAAGAATTTGAAGTTCACTGAGATGAGAAGATTCGAAATCCACCACGGTAAAGAGGGAACTTGAAATCTACCATGAAGGAGGGAGAATTTGAAGCCTGCCATAGCGGGAAGATTGAAAATCTATCATGGTGGAGAGAGGACTTGAAATCCATCACGACGAAGGCACAAAGATAAATGTGCCCGAGGTGTGTGAGTCAAAAAACCTAACCTGCACCAAGGTAAATCCGTCACGACGGAGGTGTAAGGCCAAATATGCTCGAGGCATGTGAATCAGAAAACCTGACCCACACAAAGATATATTTTTCATGGTGGAGGCGTAGGGCCAAATGTACCCGAGATGTGTGAGTTAAAAAACCTGACCCGTGCCAAAGTAAATTTACCATGATAGAAGCACAGGCCCAAATGTGTCTTAGGCATATGAGTCAAAAACCTCAACCCGCACTAAGGTAAATCCATCACGACGGAGACAGAGGACCAGATGTGCCCAAGGCATGTGAGTCAAAAACATGACTCGCGTCCAGGTAAATATGCAATGACAGAGGCATAGGGCCAAATGTGCCTGAGATGTGAGTTGAAAAACTCGACTTACGCCAAAGTATATTTTCCACAGCAAAGGCACAAGACTAAATGTGCCCGAGGTATATAAGTTGGGAAACCCGATCGCACCAAGGTAAATCCACTATGACGGAGGCATAGGGCCATATGTGCCCAAGGCAAATGAATTAAGAAACCCGACCCATACTAAGGTAAATCTGTCATGGCAAAGACACAAGGCCAAATGTGCGTAAGATGCGTGAGTCAGGAAAACCTGACTTGCATGAAGAGAAATCTACTATGACGAAGGCGCAAGGCCAAATGCAACCAAAACATGTGAGTTGGAAAAACTTGACCCGCATTTGCCATGACGGAGACGGAAGACTAAATGTGCTCGAAACGCATGAGTTGAGAAAACCCGACCTGCGTGAAGAGAAATTTGCTACAGCGGAGGTGCAAAACCAAATGCGCTCGAGACATGTGAGTTGGGAAAATCCAACCTGTGTGAAGAAAAATCTGCTATGATGGAGGCGCAAAGCCAAATGTGTCTGAGGCGTGTGAGTCGGAAAAACTCTACCCGTGTGAAGGGAAATCTACCACGGTATAGACATAAGGTAAAATATGCCTAAGATGTGTGACTTGGGAAAACCCGACCCGCTTAAAGAAAAATCTGCCATGGTAAATGCATAAGGTAAAATGTGCCAAAGGTACATGAGTAGAGAAAACCCGACCTACGTAAAGAAAAAAGTCCACCATGGTAGAGGCATAAGGTAAAGCGTGCCCGGGACGCATGCATCGAGAAAACCTGACCCGCAAGAGAAAATCTCAAATGCTTATATGTTGATGAATTAAACATCGCACTTCAAGTCCCTCTCAAAAGAGCCCCGAAGCACACCTTTAGGAGGAGGACAATAATAGGAGATATACTGACGACTAATCATCCGACATGTCATTACTACTTAACGCCCAATGAGGAAGGATAAGACGAATCTTCCTTCTTTTCATTTATGAAGAGAAAGATAATCACAAGATTCCTTCTCGCCATTTATGAGGAGAAAGACAATCACAAGTTTTCTTCGTACTCTTTATGATCATATATAAAGCTCACCTTTAACACAGAGAAGAAGGGATGACTTCTCTTGACTATTCACATTCATACTCATATATCTCATATTACTAATTTGAACGTCAGAGGGATCGGGTCGAGAAACCTCTTCCGACCTTAGTCTTCATGCATGTGACACATTGGGAACACGACGTTTTCGCCTATGAGACACTTCGAACAATCCTACGGGTTTGGGCCATGTTAAGCTAATCAAGGCGTCAATGAAATTTTTTCTTAACGCATACTTAAGTTAATAACTTGGAAGGAGAGTAATTTAAGATTCCAAAGATTCAAAGAGTTTTGGGTGAGTTAACGTAGATGGTTTTTTTCTAGAGGGCTTTGGTTACCATTATGATTAAGTGAGGAGTTATTCATGCAAGCAATTTCGTATGATTGTTGAAAATTACTGGGACAAGAGTTACCTGAACCATTGAACCTCGTGGTTGGTGTGATGTGTTGTTAGGTTACCCACATGTTAGACCCCTTTGTCATATGCCCCCACTATGCTTCAGGATGATGAAGGGGTTCAGACAGGATAACTTGATCACATCACCTAAGATGACACCATTATTTTAGATTTGAATTATTATAAGATTTTAGATACTTCGTGATTGAATTTGACTACACAAAGGATCCTCTATGATTAAATTTGATCATATCATCATTAAATAAAGTTTCATGATCAAATTCAAGGATCTTTTATGATTAAATTTGATTATATCATCATTAAAAAGAGTTTCATATCATCATTAAATAAAGTTTCATGATCAAATTCAAGGATCCTTTATGATTAAATTTGATTATATCATCATTAAAAAGAGTTTCATGGTCAAATTCACTAGTGTTATCATTGAACGACACTTTATAGTCAGGATGTTGAAGCATGCTTTAAAGTAAAGATGACTACATTATTATCGAAGGACATATCATGATCAATAACATAATAGTCAAAAGATGCTTCATGATTTGATAAAAATATCCTTCATGATCATATTTAATTTAATATAATTAAAAGATGCTTCAAATTTAATCAAACATCAACACTTTTTGTAGCTAACGCTCTCTCAGGTAAAAATGACTTGTTAGCTTGAGAAAGTGGATGAATATTTTGGCTATACACCAACGTTTGACATCCAACAAAATGAAATTTAACATCCATGAGTAGATATGCTCTCTCAAGTACCATTTAGCAGGTTCAAAGCTAATCACCGAATAAGACAGGATTAAGAACAGTCAAATCATAGAAAGAGTGGATCTCAACCATTTGGTACAAATATTAGAAGAATGCAGAGATCAAACCTTTCTGGCCCTCCAGTAGACAACAGATTAGTGCAAGCTCAGCCTGATGTTTAGTGCTGCAGGTGTCCATAATAGATTGGTAGGGCAAGGTCATCATTTTGCATGCTTCAACCACAAAAGATGTAAAATCAGATCTCATGAATAAAAATATGTAGCCAATATAAAGAAATAATTCACATTTGGAATCTAAGACCGACGAAGTTTGCCCGAGCAGTCGTTACTTCTTACAAAATTCGAAGTCCTAAATGCAAACAGAAAAAAGAAATAAAGAAAAAAAAGAAGAGAAACACTAGAACCTAGGGGAACGGAAGAATTAGATTCTAAAACTCAAAAAGGCGCAGTTCAACCATTGATTCTTTCCTCTTAGGAGAAAACCAAGCCAGAATTTTCCCAGATTTTAACTTCCTGAAAGAGTAGCTCAAGCCAAACATGACATCATCAACACAAGGCATGTGCTTCCCAGAAGGGGATACCAGGGATACTCTGGAATCCACAGAGAAGACTATGGGCCCTGCCACCTGTAAAAGAAATGGTTTATTGCAAGATCCAGATAATGAAGGAAGATAACTTACCTAAATATTATCAAAAACATGCACAAAACTATAAGAAAAGGATTTCCAATTATTACCAGTTATTAAAAATTAAAAGGATTCTATGTTACTAATGACAAGTAGTTAAATTTGGTTTAACAATACAACCAGTGGTCCTTTTTTATTAGTGAAATTTCAAATATATATTAGACTTTCTGCTAATAATATACAGAATGTACCAAGTACAGAGTCTAGAATAGCATGTGATATAATGCATCCCTTGGTACTGTTTAGTTCAGTTGCAAAATGCTCATAAAGCTAACCATAGGGTTGTCAAAGAGAGTCACAGTTAAACTAGGTACAACTCCATAGCTATATGTCAAAGAAAAAAATTATATATTGGACATGGCATCGAGCATATTATGAAGAGAAAAACAAGAATAAGGTAGAAAGATATACCTGCTGTTGAAGGATTACATTAAGCCTTGGGGTAGCAAGAGGATTAAATTCTGTGTCAACTTGTCGTTTGGTAGTGTCAAATATCAGATGGCTGACACCTTTCATAAATGCTGAAGCTGAACAAATGTCCAAGCGAGCACTTATTCTTCTAAGATCATTGAAATCCTTCTTAAATTTTCCATGCTGAATCGTGTAGCATAATGAGCCAAAGAAGTCTGCATGAAATTGATTTCTTCTTTTAGGATTCGAAATGTTGCCATCTCCAAACCATGCTGCATAAGTACCACCTAAGAAATGAAAGAAAGAAAAAACAGAGATTTATGTCAGAAGCATATAACTTGTATAAAGACATCAATATCAATCCACAGTTAAATGTTACATCCAAAATTACCCATCGTACAATGTCAAAATCAATTCAACATCCAAATGCACTGCTTTAGTGGCAAAAACCAGTTGGGAAGGTAATGACCTTAAGCAAAGAAAAGAAAAGAAAGTAGGGTCTTAAGATGTGGGCCTGATGAGCATATGTTCAAACAGATTTTAAGGTGAACTAGCAACCGAGCAAAACCATATACATAAATAAATTCGGACGGAGAGCACAGGCGCTCAACTTAATCTGCTTGAGCCAGCATAGGCTTCCTAGCACAGAATCAACTTGAAATCCCATGCAATGAGAAAACATGAAAAACTAATATTGTGGCCAAGATTGGCTATTTATTAGTGTGGGCACCTAATTTGCCAAGCTAGAAAATGTTAAAACATTCTAATCCAATTTTATCATTCCAGTGAAGATCACAGTCCTAAACCAAACTAGTGCTCATGACTCCAAAAGCAAGAGACTAGCAATATATGTAAAACAGAAGTTAGAATACAGTGGCTCCAAATGAAATACAGCTAGAAAAAAATTTGTTCATCAAAACATCTAACTGAATCAACTTTCAGTAATGCAAATCATATAGAGCTAAGCTCTACAACAACCTTCGAACAATAAGCCAAGTGGCAGGAATGTTCAGAAAACCTTTTTGTAATGCCGTAATGCCAGGTAAAGATAAACTCTATGCATGACACAAATGAATAGGTCAAAATTCTAAGAACAAGAAAGAACTATAGTTAACACTTGAACAATCAGGTACAAGTAGTTGATAGTCCTTACGGGAGGTTATTGCTGTCACCAAAGCAATGGCACATGGCTTTGCATACAGGCTGATCCAGTTTGTTAGATCACAGTCTGGAAGAACTGGCAGAGGAGTTGGCTCCAAGTAGGCCAAAATTCGGTGGCCTCAGAAAAGATCAACATAAGAAATAATTTTTTAAGTGTGGTTTGATTATGACCACTAAAGCAGATACCTATGCACCTTTTTCTTAATAGTCATGATATCTATATACTTCTATTGAATTTTTTATGTAAAATCACAAGCCAATCCAGATAGGCCAGCTGACACAAAATGGCCAAATCCAGCAAAACCAAAAACTCTCATCAGGCTCAGGGGACTGCAACTGAAATGATGGTTTGGTAAATCAACTTAATATAAATTTGATGAAGGGACCCATTCTTTTTTTACAACTTTGCATGTTTCAGCAAAACCATACGTCATGAGATTAATTAAAAGAAACAAATATTTGAACAAACTATATAATAACTATACAACATCCAAGTGATTGGAATATTCATATAATCATAAGTTTTCTATAAGAAACTCAATAGCTAAATATTCTAGATAATTTTCTCACCAATGATTCCTGATATTGTTGCATGGGGTTCTTCGAGTCGTTCATCATAAGAGGATATCCATGCAGGTTTCTTGACCAAATTTCTTGCTCTAGTACTCTTCTCCTGTTCCCTCCAAAAATCCATGCTCTTCTCATATGAAACAGCTGCTTTGGCACATACTCCAGGCAGAAGAGTCAAGGGAATATCAGTAGATGAAGAGTTGCGAGCTTCAGGTTGCCCACTGTTTTTGTGTAAACCAAAACGATACCACAAACCAGTGTCAGGTATTAGAGAAGTTACATCTAGGGATACTGAAGTTGGAACATCCCAATAATTTCCCTTACTGTCCAGAAACAACTCAGGCCATGCTGCTTCTATTGTAACATCATGACTTGGCAGCTGCAAAGGCACAAGTAACCAAGAATTACAGCTAGACAGTAAAATAGCACAGTTCAAGTAGAATGAATCATACAGAACCAAGACACAACAATTTATCCCAAAGAGGCACCCAAAGATATGTATCCTAATTTAGGAGACATTTAAAATAAGGTCTGCAAGAGGACAATTATCATTAACTTCATATAATCTAGATTCCTATAACTTCACTTGAAAATTATATTACCTGACATAAATAATTCAAAATTTTAATTACGCTTATTGCGACTAAACTGCGTCTGAGTTGTCTATGACTAGAAAGTGCAATAACAAAATCTGCCATAAAAGATGAACTATTTCGTTAAATTTACCTCGTGCAAGAGCATTGCTTTTGCACGTTGGCCCGTCTTATCACCATGTCTTTCCACATTGAAGAGTAATGAGGTCTCCGGTGTTAGAGAAATTTGCGAGAACAAACCAAGTGCATACAGCGACTTGTCCAGAAAATGCTTTGCAACGTCCTTGAACTGAGGCAACTCTAGCTCATCTCCCATTGTCACTTCTTTCTTGATATTTGATATCAATTTTCTTGGACGGAATTGGCCAACTAATCCCATCCACCTAACAATCGTCCAGTATAGGATCACAAGAGCACGCCATCAATTCCTTGCAATAGTGCGCGATATAGATCTAGGGACACATAGCAGAATCAGAGGGGAAATGGATGCTTACCACCTGTCGGAGGAGGGGCCGAGGAGGAGGGACTGGATGGCGAAGGAGCCGAGGTCCTTGCGGGGGGTCGGGGCGAAGGAAGGGACGAGGCCGAGGGGGAAGGCGCGGGAGAGGAAGGAGAGCTGCTGCGGGCGGAGGAGGCGGCTCGCCCGGGCCATCCCCAACGGCGCCGCCTCCCCGGGGACGGCCCGGGCCGTGCCCTCCAGGTTTTGCGCCGACGACACGTTCAGGTCCCAGAACGCCGTGTCCATCGCCAGCCGAAGACTCGTCATCACCCTTCTTCTCCGGCCTTCTCCGCCCTCTCTCTATCTATCCACTCCAGCCTTATCCCTCTCTCTCTCTCTCTCTCTCTCTCTCTCTCGTCGCGCG